AATGTGTGCTGGTCTTTGTGGGTATTGATATCTTTGAAATAAAATGTGTGAAAGCAAACAGTCCATGCTGGTGATACAAATTAATTGCATCATTATGTTGTAATAAGGTGATGCAATTAGCACATCTCACTATACTGACATCTCAGGATGGGTATCCAATTAACTCAGGTCACCAGGCCTCTTGCTTAGAATGGGGTTTTCAATCTGTTCCCAAGCTGACTTCACATAGTTGCCTATCTCCTGAAGTGTAAGAAAACTTTTTAAAGAAATAAGGCAATTTTGAAAAGGTTATTGGAAAACTGCTGTATCAACTTGATTCAGATTGTGCTATGCTGATAAATCTCAGTGTGTCAGGGAAATATTGTTTAAAATTGAGCAGAGTGACTAAAATATGCTAAAGTTCATCCTTTTGTTTTCTATAAATGAAATTTGCTGATTATAACAAAGGTAAGGGCACCAAGGTTGACAGTAGTCTCAAAAATATCAGAAAGCATGGAAATCCTATTTGATGAAGGTCTATTTAAAGCTGAGAAGATTATTGGTATATCAGATGCATAGCAAGAACCTAGCATATAATTTTAGAAAATCTAAAATATTTTAAAGAATGTGGCAAATAAATAGGTTTTAGTTATATAAAAATTTTGTGATATCATGGAGGGGTCCTTTAACTCATTTGTTATCCCAAGTAAAAAAGTAGCACTGAGCAGAAATGGTGAAAAAAATCAACATTTGTTGGTACCACCACCTTCAGAGGAAACTTTGCCACTCCATAGCATTTATTTACCATTTTTATAAACAGTTGTCATATTAAAACATAACTACTTTTTGCTAAACCTCTTCCACAACAATGTAAATTTCTTAAAAAACAGGGAATGTGCCCAAATTCACCTTTTCATCCCCATGCTAATATATTTGGTTCCCCATTAAATATTTGTTGAATAAACAAGAGTGATTTATGAATAGCAAAAGTAATAAATTCCATTATTCATTATTCCACACAGATATTATTTGTTTGCTTGTTTGTTTCTTTGTTTCCTTTTGCAGCTATTTCAAAGAAAGCCACCCTTGAATTTAAATTCTTATATAAAACTAGAGGCCCGGTGCACAAAAATTTGTGCACTCTGGGGGGCGGGAGGTTCCCTCAGCCCAGCTTGCACCCATTCACAGTCCAGGACCCCTTGGGGGATGTCCACCTGTCGACTTAGGCCCACTCCCTAGGGGATCAAGCCTAAGCTTGCAGTCAGACATCCTTCTAGCAGCCAGGGAACCCTTGGGGATGTCTGACTAAAGGCTTAGGCCCCCAAGGGATCAGGTCTAAACTGTTAGTTGGACATTCTTAGTGCTGCCACGGAGGTGGGAGAGGCTCCTGGCACCACCTCTGCGCTGGCCAGCCATGAGCCAGCTTCTGGCTGAGTGGCACTCCCCATATGGAAGTGCACTGACTACCAAGGGGCAGCTCCTGCATTGAGCATCTGTCCCCTGGTGGCCAGTGCACACCATAGCAACTGGTCATTCTGCCGTTCAGTCAATGTGCATATTAGCCTTTTATTATTATTATATAGGATGTCCCTATTTCCACCCTTTTGCCCCTTCTACCCAGCTCTTGCCCCCATTTCTCTCTGGCCATCACCATACTGTTGTCTGTGTCCATGGGTTGTGCATATATTTTCTTTGGCTAATCCCTTCTTTAAATTCACTTTTTTAAATTTGTACTTTCAGATAAGTGCTTATAACTGCACTATTATATATTTTCTATTATATCATTTAGAATTAAGATAATTTTTAATTGAACCCTTGTAAATTTTAGTGCAATTTAATAAATTATGCTAGAAGCAATTAGGAGATTTTTCATGTAATGCAGATACATTTCAATTAATTTTTATTAATTTTTAAATTTTTAATATTTTAATTTGAAATAATCTCATACATCTAAAAAAAAACTATAAAATACTACAGCATATTATATGTACCCTTCACCCAATTCCTTAGGTGTTAATAATTTAAACATAACCATTATACAACTAACAGAATTTGGAATATATTTTTCTTATAATCTCTTTAATGTTACTTAATCCATTTACTTTGTTTTTGTTAATCTTCACCCAAGAATATTTTTCCATTGAATTTTAGAGAGTGAAGGGAAAGGGAGAGACATATTGATTGGTTGCCTCCTGCACATGCTTTAATAGGGACTGGGGATCAAGCCAGCAACTGAGGTACATGCCCTTGACTGGAATCAAACCTGGGACCCTTCAGTCCAAGGGCTAATGCTCTATCCACTGAGCAAAACAGGCTGCAGCTTAATTCATTTACTTTTAATCTATATGTGTCTTTATATTTAAAGTGGGTTTTGTTTTTGATTCACCCTCATAATCTGTCCTTTATTTTTTATTTATTTATTTATTTATTTATTTATTTTTATTTCATTTTTATCCTTTTTATTGAAACATTAACTTTAATTAGAGTTGTCTAGGTATAAATTCGAGTTGTCAAATTCTTAAATCAATCCAGTTTCCTCACCACAACTCCCAGTCTCGCTGAGAGCCTGCCCTGCACAGAATGGTCACAGAAGGTGTATCCAGTGCAGAGCGGAGAACGAGGTGTTCAGTTCCTTTCATGTTTAGGTCCATCACAAACTCTGATTGTTTTTAACTAATAAGAACACAAGTTTAAAAGGCAACCACATCACAGCAACTGACATAGCCTATCTCAACTTCTCAGGAAAATATCCATTAAAATATAAAATAAACATGCAAACATGCAAGTTCCCTATTCTACACTCTAGGTGGAATTTCTACTATGTCTGATACCATTGGTCTTGTCGTGGGAAGATATACTGGAGTCTAGAAGGTGTGGCCTCTAAAACACCAAAGGTAGGAACAGAGGCAGAAAGATCCTTTCTTTATGAATATGGATGCCAGGGTCAGAAATACAGTTAACTCACATGCCAACCCATGAGTCCCATCCCTCCCAGGTTAAGCTCAGGTTGATCCTCATCTGTATCTTTGTTTTCCCATTTCAAGTTTTAATTCTGGTAAAATTTACCATCTTAACTATTTTTTAAAATATATTTTTTATTAATTTCAGAGAGGAAGGGAAGAGGGAGAGAGAGACAGAAACATCAATGATGAGAGGGAATCACTGACTGCTGCCTCCTGCACGCCCCCCACTGGGGATCGAGCCCGCAATCCGGGCATGTGCCCTTGACAGGAATGGAAGCCGGGACCCCTCAGTCCGCAGGCCGATGCTCCATCCACTGAGCCAAACTGGCCAGGGCCATCTTAACTATTTTTAAGTGAACAGATCAACAGTTTTAAATGTATTCACATCGTTGAGCAACCAATCTCTAAAAGTTTTCATTTTGTAAAACTGAAACTCTATACCCATTGAGCAGTAACTGCCCATTTCCCCCCACAGTCTTGCTGACTTTTGCAACTTCCACATTCTTGGCTAATCCTCTGAAGTCATGGACGAACCTCTTGAGTATCCTCATCACACCTTGGTGACATCACCCTGAGCCCAGGAGGGCATCTTGGGTGAGGGGTGAGGGTGGGGAAAACTGAGTCACTGGTCATCCATGATTTTTTATTGCTCCTGCAGGACACTGGCAGTGTGTGCTTACTGGAAGGCCCACCTTCTCACTGCACCAGATCACAAAGGATTTCTGTCTGCAGCCGACGACACTCCTACCAAGGCTATGAACCTGTCCTCAATGGCCTTGAGGCCCGGCACTGACTTGGCTTACTTATCGGTGCAAGTCCTTCCAGGCATCTGTTTCCAGAATAGGGAGTTTTCGTCCATGTTGAAGATTTGCTCTGGCAGGTAATTTCCCTCCACAGTCAGCTTAGCTAGAGTTGCCAAAAATCCTTCGGTTGCCTTCTCACCAGCACCTGCTGACTCAGCACTCACTTTCACATTACGTAATGAATAACAGCTCTTGAACTGTGTAAACCGCCCAGAGTAGCAGTAAACTCATCATCCCAACCAGGTCCAGCCTCATCATTCAACACTGCAGACAAACTTTCCGCTTTGGCCGTGACGGTCGCGGTGCTGAGAGGGACACGCTGCTGTCTGGCCCTCCCTCCAGGGCATTAGAAGTTTCCCCATGTCTGACACAGGCCCTTCTCTTATTTTGGTTAAGTTTCATTGCCTTCAATGAAGCAGATGCTGTAATAGCTCCTGTCACTTTGTTCTGTTCTGAGAGATCGTAGCACTGGTGGCACTGGGAATGCCTGACTGGAGAGCAATAGCCACCCCTGGTTTTCTACCTTCATAGTCCTCACTCACTTCAATTTTGACTTCAATCAGTCCACATGGCCTCTTACTGGCAACATTAGCAATTTGTATGCTTAGGGGCACGATGAATGAAACAACATGAGATTAAATCAAGCACAAGAGAAAATGATGTAACCAGGAGATATGTAGTAAACATGGGATGTATGAGGCTGTTTCGAGCATAGCACAGCACAGTTTCACAGCAACCTTTTTTTTAATGTAAGTACAAAGAGTACACTCTAAAGTAATAATAAAAAGTACACTATAGTATATGCCTAAACCCATAACATGGTCAGTTGTTGTCATTATCAAGCATTACGGACCGGAACTTATATGCAATATACTTTTATATGACTGACAGTGCAGTACATTTTTAAAAATATCACCACAAACATGAGAGCAAGGCATTGAGTGGGGACATTATGACACCATTATTACAACAGCATTAGGCAATAGAATATTTTCAGCTTGATTACAATCTTATGGGACCCCCATTGTATATGACTAAACATCATTAGGCGACATGTGATTATATAATTTCAGGACATTTATGAGTCTCTTAAGTCCATCTGTGAATATTGAAAACTTTGTAAGGCCGGAAATTTGGTTTCAAAATTCTAATAAATGGTAAATACCAGGAAATACTATCCAAACGCAAAGGACCACCTAGTTTGAATATATCTGTATGAATCCAGTACCCCTTGAATTCCACTATTAGCTCGCTCTGTGAACATTTTTAGGTCCAGGGTCACAAACAATGAAAGGCATTGCTTGTCTTTTGCACAACCTCCTGAAGACGACACACTTAATGCTGAGTGAGGCGAGGCATGTGGAGGAAATGCAGGAGACATAAATAAAAATTTAGTATAAAGATCAGTAAATATGACAAGGATGGGATTTGACTCACGAAATCTGTTTCAAGTTTTCCCATTTCTTGCTTGTAGCTTCTCATTCTGTTGCTGTACATTCCTCGACTTTGGGGTGGTATCTCTTGGACTTCCAAATCCATCTGCTCAAGCAGTTCTTTTGCTTCTTCAAGCTGTTTCTCCACATTTGCTACCATCTGTTTCTTCTCATCAGGGGGCAGTCGGGGGACCCTGGCAATCTTGCTTGTGAGCTCTGCAGTGAGCACCGCGAAGTCCTGCTCGAAGCCTTCGAAGTCGGACGACATGGCGGCTCCGGAGCGACAGGCCAGGCCGGAGCCTAGGTCGGGGCAGGGATAGCACGGAGCTGGGGAACAAGGTGTAGGAACCCTGGGACCTGCCCTCGAGACCAGAGCGGAGAACCCGAGACAGCTCCCAGCCCGGCCGCTTCCTGGTTGTCCTGTCCTTTAATTGGTGCATTTATGCCACTGACTTTCAGAGTGCTTACTGATAGAGTTACTACCATATCAGGCAGCTTCTGGGTCTTCTGGGTCCCACACTGCCTTGCCTTTTTTGCTTCTTTTTTTCTAAGACATTTCAATTTATTTGAAAGAAGCCAATATACAGGATATAAAGGGTATGATATTTACAACAGTACAGTAAATAGGTTGGTTTCCCGGTAGGATCAGTAGTCTTTCAGTGAGTATTAACCCCCTTTCCCCTTGATGCTCGACCCAGCTGGCAGACAAACAGCAACAGTGGGGTGGGATGGGACTGCAGGATAGAACGTCTCCCTGAAGGGATTAAAAATCACGTAGATGCTAAAATGTCCACGAAGGGGTCTTGGGGGTAAGGGGTGCCTCTGCCTTATTCCTTTGAGGGCTTGGCAGCAGGAATGCTGAGGGATTTGCCCCAAACTAGCACACTGCCCACCCTGAGCCTGTAGATCTTTCACCAATGGAATATTCCCTTCTTGACAGAAGCAGCCCCAATCCCTCAGCCAGGGCCTGGAGGAGCCGCCCAGGCCATGGGCACAGCCAGGACTGTGGACATTTCATGGCATTTCCACTCCCACTCCAGCTGCCTAACAACTCTGCACTGCTCTCCTCGCTCACCTCCCCTGTCACTCCATCAGGACACTGTGCACAGGAGGGTACACTGGTTTTCCCATGCCCATTGGGAACTGGCTGTTTCTGTTTTCTGGAGTAACAAGGTTCCTGTGGGTCGGGTAAGGTCTCTGCTTGGCAGGAAGTTCTGAAACAGGGCCACTGACCACACCCACCTCCTCTGGGCATGGAGCAGCTCCGGCCCTGGGAGCTCATCTCTCCAGCAGAGCTGAAGGGAAGACCGTGTGTACCCTTCTGTCCCTCACCCTTCACATGCCCAGAACCATCAGTGTCACACTTCCTAATTCCTATCACTGTATTTCATTAGTTCTATACTGTTTTACTAATCATGAATCTAAACAGATTAGTTCAAAAGGAGATCCTTCTATTTTTAAAGTAGCTGGGGCTTCTGGGGGCGGGCCTTGCCTTGCAGCTTGGACCCGCTGATGGGCGGTTCCTGGGCCCCAAGGCAAGACCTGCTGCGGGGGGGGGGGGGGGGGGGGCCTTGACTTGCAGCCTGGACCCACTGATTTGAAGTTCCCAGGGCGCAAGGCAAGACCAGCTGCTGAGGCTTCTGGGGGCAGTCCCCACTGGGGTGCCTGGCCAGTCTGGGTGAGGGGCTGAGGGCTGTTTTTAGGCTGCCAGCACCCCCTTTAGGGTGGGAGTCCCCTCTGGGTTGCCTGGCCAGTCTGGATGAGGGGCTGAGGGCCGTTTTCAGGTTGGCAGGTGACTGAAGCTCCCAACCTCTCCTTTTTTTCTTTTTTTCTTTTTTATTCTGATATTTATTTACCTTCTATGGCTGTCACTGGAGCTGAGAGCCGGCTTTAGCTCTGAGGCCGGCTCTAGCTTGAGGCCTCGGCTGCTGAAAACAGGTTATCTGGGCTTTGTTTAGCTTCTATAATTGAAACTCTGTTGCCATCACTGGCGCTCTAAGCTCTGAGCCCGCTGACCACTGAAAGCAGGTACCTGGGCTTTGTTTAGCTTCTATAATTGCAACATTGTTGCATCCGGAGCTCAGAGCTGGGCTGCTGCAGGCCTGGAATGTTGGCTTCCTCCGTCACTGGAGCAAGCGAGCCTCTTGTTCGCTTCAGCTTCCTGGCTGCCGGCCGCCATCTTGGTTGTCAGTTAATTTGCATATCCTGCTGATTAGCCAATGGGAAGCATTCGGGGGTCTGGTCAATTTGCATCTTTCTCTTTAATTAGTGTAGATGTTCTGGCTCACCATAATGGTATGTAGCCAGTTGGAACTGAAACTGAGTCCCTGAAGTTCAGAGGAATACTAGGAGACACTTCAGATTGATAGAATATACACAACACCCAAACTAAACTAAGGTAATGCATTGGCATTAACATTCCTCATGTGGAAAATATAATGGCAGGTGGTATTTTATATGTCAACACAATGTCTGTATCTTCAAGCTCTGTCAACAATTTCCTGGCCTCTACCTTGGGGTTTATAGACAGGTCTCGGTCTCTAACTTAGACAAGGCTTTGGTCCTAAAGAGGCTAAAATATTGGTCAAAATTCAAGATAGGATTTGTCACAGGGAAAAATATAGTTATACAAAAGCTGGAGATAACATGAAATGGGATCTGCTAAATAAACCACAAGTCCCATATACAGTTTTAAATATAGTGAAAGGTTGAATTGGAGTTTTGGTAACTTAATTCTAAGACTTAGGGTGCTTTCCTTTTTTGCTGACTAAAATTAGGATTGGTTTCATAAACAGAGATGGTTTGAACTTGATAATGGGAGCTGAGCACTTCTACCTCTCAGCAAGAAATATATACAAGGCAAGGAATAAGGCAGAGTCTAAGACAAAGTCTGCAGCTATTGTTTTACATCAGCCTATACAATCCTTTATTACTGGTATGTACATTCCCATTCATGACTTCATGAAATGAATTTAAAGGGGACACATCTAGACATTTTTAGCCTCAGATTGGTTCTAGTTCATTGACCCATATTGCGTTTTGCTGTCTGGGATGACCCCAGATCTGTCATCTATTCTTATCTGAATTTTACTTATTTAGGATGAGTTCTAGGTTTCCTAAACCTAAATCCTTAACTGCTCACATCTTGAACTCAGTGTGTTTTATCTTTGCTTTGAAAAACCTATACACTTAGCTCATGTTTATGTGTGTATATTTGGTCTCATATTCAGTTCCGAGGAATCCTCTTGGTTTTATGAAACGTACATCCCTACAGCAGTTGGCAAGGTCCTTTCTAATTATCCTTGTCCCATCCTTGAGGAACTGAGATGGGGTGGCTTCCACATTTTTTCTTTAAGTGTCCCTGGTGGTACAACTGCAGAAGACTCTAACTAGACTTTACTTTAACCAAAACCCTAAGCTCATGGGTCACGGTCAAAACAGTATGTAGTGCTCTGAGCTGGCTATTTATAATTCTACTTTAATTTGTATCTTTTTTCTCAAATCATAAGGAATTTACTCAAGGTGCCAAAGCAGGGAGGCAGATCATTGTAACTGCATAGCTTCTGTTTCTGCATATCCAGATGGTTGTGGTACCAAGTCCTTGGGAATATGATACTTTGGCATTGCTGCTTGCAGAGAAGTGACAAACCGACATTCACATAGACCACAAAGCCAGGAATGCAGTTATATTCCTGGAAACAAAGATGTGCACACTCCAGAGAGGGGTGCTGCAGCAAGGGCTGCTGGGGAGGATCCTCTCCTTGTCACCCTCTGGGAAAATGATGATAATAAAGAATCAAGAAAAATATATGTTAATTATAGAACTTTAAAGTAACTTCATAAAAAAAGACATTCGAAAGCACTACATTATTTTAAATCTTTTTACATTGGCCTGCTTTTATAAACTATACTCAAATGAAGTTACCAAAATATTTTGCTTATGTTCGTGAAGAAGATGCTTGAGGCATATTTAACAACTTTCTCAGTTTTTTCTTTACACTGAGTTGTACAGTCAATTTCCTAAATTTAGTTAATATTTCCAGGTCTATTTTAAAATGCCCCTCAAAATTAAGAATTGACCTGAAAAATACTGTTACACATATGGGATAAGAGAAATGAGGGTGACTTTTTTTTCTTATTAATCTTTCTGTATAAGTTCTCAGAAGTAAGAATAAAAAAGGTTGAACTCACATTCAATTTTGCAAAATGATTAGCAGTCAAGGAGAAAATGTTTAGCTTTTTAAATTATTTTTTTCTTCTTTATTGTGGAAAAAAAATATTGTTGACACTATTATAGATCCCCACCTCTGTTTACCCCCTCCACCCAGCTACCGCCCCACCCTCCACCCTGTCTCTGACCATCACCATACTGTTATCTGTGTCTATGGGTTATGCATATATGTTCTTTGGCTAATCTCTTCATCTTTTACCCAGTTTCCCCAATCCTCCTCCCTTCTGACCTGTGTCAGTCTGTTCCATGTATCTATCCCTCTGGTTCTATTTTGTTTGTCAGTTTATTTTGTTCATTAAGTGAGAGCATATGGCTCCCACAGACAGCAGCTGAAGTTTGGGAGGGATTTCTCAGCTGGGGTGAGGGGGATTCCCACTGAGAACTCTGGGGTCTAAAACCCAAGCTGGGCTCTCTAGCCAGAGCACCAGAACTGAAAAAGGTGCCCACATTACATCTGGCTATGAAAAGCAGCAGGGTTGCAATATTCTAGAAGAAATGGCTGGAAAGGCAGGCACGCTCTTCAAAGGATAATGCAAAAAATTTTGTGTGCACCCACTCACCATGTGCTCCGGCATAAGAAGGGCACAGTGGAATTTAGCTGTGCGAGCAGAGGCTAGGATTGAGGGCTCTGGGGTTAGAACTAAGAAGGCACCACCCTAGTTTTCTGTGCTGAGCCATTCCTTCATGCTACGGAGCACATCTTTTTCTGGGGAACTTTTGCTAATCAGGCAATTTTTGCCAATGGGGAAGGCAGTTGCCTCAGCCTATTGGAAAACCCCTTGTCTCACCCTATGTAGCTTCTGAGGCCCCTCAAGAGACTGAAAACAACAATCAGCCTGAAGACAGAAGCAATTGCCCCACCCTATCGGAAAACCTCTCACCACCACCCTCCTGACCGCCCCCCACCGTTATCCATAGCCTGAGGCTAATCAAGACAATACAATCAGGCTGCAAGTAAAGGCTGGTATCTGGATGCTTTTCCTGATCTAATTCAGGACCAGGGGATAGGAAAAGCATACCCTGAGTACATCTTAGTCCTTTACAAAAACACCCAGTCCCATCAGAGGGAGGCACAAGCTGTGCATTGCTGATAATTCAAAACAGGGTTTGTTGAGCTAGTCAAAAATAGCATCTGAGACTGTCCTGCACTAGGGAGGCATTGAAGATGTATCTAATATATACT